AAGACGAGTGCTATTTTTACCCTTACAGGGAATAAAAAACTGGCAAAAGATCATGCATGAGCACAAAAATATGCATACGTGTTTTCTTTTCCCAGATATTAGAGGGACTTTTTTGTCCTCTGACACTCCCATTGAACCTTGTAAAACAAGATTATATTTTCTGAAATGATTACTATGGTATTTTAGTACACATAATAGCTGGATATTTGTTATCTTTTTATTAGGTACAAGTACTTCATACAAAGAAAGGGTAGTTGGTTTGGGCAAAATAGCTCAACGTAGGGGTCTCTAGGAATTTCCAAGTAGATTCTTTTTATTGCTGTCCTTTGCTTTTGTAATCTGAAGCAGACAGAGCACTCTGTGAACTGGAAGAGAATGAACTTCTATTCATTTTTTCTCTCAAATCATTTTCAAGTTAAAAAACTGCCCTCAACCCTCTCCTTCATCCACCATAGAGAAGATGTAAGAACTCTGGGGGCCCGTCCAGACAGTGACTTTATCCCAGGAGCTTCCGCAACAAACAGGAGGGTGGCCAGACGCCATTCCCTGTAAATGTGGAAGTAATCGCTACAAAAGACAAAAAATAAGATTATGGGAATATCGCAGTTTTGAGCCAAATATGAGGATCTTTGCATGTCTGTATGTCCCTGCAATTGGAAATCGTGGGATTTTTTATCTGTGTTTTTCCTGGATTTTATATGCTTGTTCTTGATTGGTCAGTTCCTAAAAAGGTGACACTTGAGTAGAAGGCAAGAACTTTGTTTGTGTGCCAGAAACTTTATGAAATGTGTGGAGGACACATTTTGTCTAGCCAGGACAAAGTTGTGACCCTATAGTCAATGTTTTACATCTTTTCACATGAAGAATGATCAGGAGCAGCCATGTATAACCCAGGAACAGCACTCTGTTGTTTGATGTCACAAGTACACAAATCTGTCTGGACAGATGGCCAGGCAAGCCAGGCTCTAAAAAGTAATGACAAAGCTCTGTTCCTGGCTTGAAAGTGTGTGTTCCTGTTTGATTGTGCATTGCTGACTTAGGCAGAAATGGTCCTACCCCGTAAACTTTATTTGTGTGGCAGATACTTCACGAAATGTCTGGAGGGCACAGTTTCTCTGGCCAGGACAAAGAACAGAAGTTTTCAGTGACTCTGCATATCCGCATCTTGAGGGTTTTTTGTTTGTTTTTTTTTAAAAAAAGCTGAAGTTTCCGTCGGAAGTCCCATGGCGGCCATCTTCAGAGCCTCCAAATCTCACAACAAAGCATCAAGTCTGGACAACAGAAGCAGAAATCCCGGGACCAAGAGGTCTGTATGTGGACCTCTTCTGAAGTCCCAGGATTTTTCGCTGCTGATTAAAACCCGTGAGTTAGTGCTGTCTAGAAGGGCCCTGGGTCTTTCACCTGGGAATGCAGAATATGCTAAGGAGAGAGTAGTTTAAAGTGAAAGGGTTAAGTAGAATCTATTCAGCCTGTCTACGAGTTTAGAAACAAAAACATGGCAAAAAGAATATAACATGGGCTTTTGTCTGATGCGGGTTTAAGCACAAAAAAAATGCAAACTCATGGGGGACAGGTATATCGGCATCTACTTTTAGCTCTCAATTTCTTAATTCGTTAAAATCCTTTCTGAAAGTGAATTAGAGAGAGGCACAGCATGGAAGAAAGATACTGGACATAAGAAGGGGGCATCTCCACTGAGGACTCTTGACAGAAATAGTAGAGACTAATTTCATGGACGACATTTATAGACAGAGGGTCTATAATGAGATATAGTGGCTAAATTGTTGGACTACAACTGGAAAAGAGGGCTTGCTTCCCTGCTCAACCATGCGGTGCATCTACTGTAGAATTAATACAGTTTAACAGCCATGGCTCGGTGCTAGAATCATGGAGATTGTAATTTGGTGAGACAATGTCCCTCTTTGAGAGGCAATGCTAAAGACCTTTTCAAACTACAACCCCTATTACATTACCAATCCTAATGCTATGAAATCTTGGGAGTTGTCGTTTTACAAGATCTTTAGCTTTATCTGCCAAAAGCTACTGGTGCTTCACCAAATCCCAAGATTGCATAGCATTGAGCCATGTCAATTAGGTGTCAAACTGTATTCTACAAAGAGATCTAATGGGTTACCTTAGGCAAATTACACACTTTCAGCCCCAGAAAACCTGATAGGTTTGTCATCACAACGAAGGCACCAAACAACCAGCAGCTATATATATATAAAGTTGAAACTGCAGGACTTTTCCATGCAGTATGAAAAAAATATCCTATGCAACATTACCAACAGTCATTTTTTTTCTTTTTGTTAATAACGGTTACTCAATCAGCCTGTTCCCATACAGCCACTCAGGTCTTGTGACTCCAGGATTTATAAATAAGGTAATAGGAGCTGATTTGGCCATGACACATGGTTTCTTGCAAATAGGTTAAGCCCCCAGTACAACAGCTGTCAGCAACATTGTTCCCCTGCTGTCTGACAAGGAAGCCAACTGGAACTTCTCTGGAGAAAGAGACCTTTGGTTTTCCCTGCCTTTCCCCTGACAGCTGCGCTAAAGGCCTCCGAACACTGTCCCCTTTTATATGATATTGGTCATGGGGGGGGGGGGGCAGGGGGAGTGAGATATCAGAGAGATAAACATTGCTAATCGAAATCCTGCCTTTCACCATGGAGTTGTTGAGAAACCCACAAGAYCAGCCAAATGTATGACATTTCACTTTGTTGTGGGAACATATTAAAAGCTTCAAAAGGAAAGAGAAATTCACAAAACCTTTGCATATAACGGTGCATATACAGTAGAGTCTCTCTCATCCAACATAAACGGGCTGGCAGAACATTGGATAAACAAAAATGTTGGATAATAAGGGATTGAGAAAAAGCATATTAAACGTCAAATTTTGTTATGACTATGTTATGATTTTACAAATTAAGCACCAAAAACATGTTTTACAGCAAGTCAACAGAAAAAGCAGTTCAATACATGGAAATGTTATGTAGTTATTACTGTATTTATGAATTTAACACCAAAACAGAGAAGGGTTCTTTCTTTCTCCCACGCTGAACTACATTGGATAATACAAAACGTTGGACAAGCGAAGGTTGGATAAGTGAGACTCTACTGTAACTGCTTGCAGTACCATAGCCTTTTGGACCACTTTCTCCTACACCAGTTGACTGGATTATAAAACATGTTAACTAGGCATTAAATTCATTGGTGGTCTTACGGATAGGTCCAAAGGTTTCCTCTACATTGGTTTTTTATCTGAATTTTCAAAGGTGTACACTCTCAGGTCCACTCTAGATCCCCCAAAGGCCTTGCCACCCTAACATCACACAACATTTACTTGATCACTACACAATTTACAAACCTTCTCTGCCAAAGAGTTTGGCGGAGAAGGCTTAATGCCTCACCAAGCTTCAAATCACAGGATTACATAGCATTGAGCCATGGCAGTTAAAGTGATGTCAAACTCCACCCAAAGTCACCAAATGTGAATGATTCTCAAAATATGCAGCTTTTGATGACTTTCTCCTGCAATGAGGAAAAAGGAAAATTATTAATTCTTGCCTGCAAGAACAGCATTTACAAAAGATTTCCATCTCCAGCCTCCAGCTGCACT